GAGAGGGGGGTTGCGCGGGCAGCCTTTGGGGAAGTTATCCCGCAGGGCTGTGTCAGCCGGGGCGGGGGAGGTGAATCCATCAGGCTGAGTTTTAGGCAGCAGCCCGCAAGCTGGGAGTGAGGACCAGAGGGCCCTGTGCCCTGGCTTGCCCCGGGGAGTCAGGGCAGGGTTGGGGTTAGATCTAAGGGGTTGAGTGATGGGGTTAGTTTTTTGGGGATCCATGCTGGGCTAGGACACAGGGAGGTACTGTACTTAGGGACGGGGCGTAGAGGGGTACTTCACACAAGGGGGTACTGCACACACGGGGTACTGCTCATGGGCATGGGGATTAATGCTAATGCACACAGGGGAGTATTGCACATAGGGATGGGGGTACTACACACAGAGGCATAGCGGTTAATGCACCCAAGAGGGTACCGTACACAGGGAGGTATTGCACACAGGGACTGGGACATAGAGGGTACTGCACACAGGGGCACAGGTACTGCACACAGGGATGGGGGTACTGCACACAGGGGCATAGGGGTTAATGCACCCAAGAGGGCACTGCACACGGGGGTATTGCACACCGGGACCGGGGCACAGAGGGTACTGCACACAGGGGCATAGGGATTAATGCACACAGGTGGTACTGCACATAGGAGCATGGGGGTTAATGCACACAAGAGGGTACTACACACAGGGGCGGGCTATAGCCCAGAAGACATAGGGGGCACTGCCCGGCTGGGGCGAGGTCGGGAGCCCAGCTCGGCTGGGGTAGGAGGTGGGAGCCCTGCCTGGCGGGGACGAGCCCGGGAGCGCCGCCCCGACACTAGCACTCACCGAAGCAGAGCCGGGCAGATCTCTCCGGGAACTAGCCAGCCAGCGGCGCTGGGATCCTCTCGAGCCCGGCGGCAGCTCCCCGAAGCCCGCTGGAAAGCGGGGGTCCGGCCGGGCGGCTCACAGCCCGGCTCCCTTCCCCCCTCCTGCCTTTGGACCCCGTCAGCTGCCGGGGAAGGCGGCTCTGGGGGCCGGGGGAGGGGCAGGAGAGCCGGGCTGCCTCTCCCCTCGAAGCCGGGCGCCCAGCAGACTCCGCCGCCGCTTCAGCTGCCGCCAATGGCTCCCAGCGCACCGGGAGCCGCAGGTCAAGGGCAGGAGGCTGCCACCAGCCAGGGTTCCCGTGCGCGGCTGCCGGCTTTCCTAAGGCAGCAGCGCTCCCTGAAGGCGGGGGAGGTTTCCACTGGGACGCGCAGCCTGGAGCCCAGAGGCAGCCTAGCCCAGAAGCGGCGGGTCTCTCACTGCTGCCCGAGCACACGAAGGCGAGAACTGGGGTTACTCCATCTTTAACCCTGCTTTCCCCGACTCGCCAGTCCTAAGCCGCACGGACAGAGACACCCTCCTCCTGCTCCTCTCCCCCCCAATGCTCTTCTTCCGTGCAACTGCATCTGCTGCTTAAAAGCAGACATGCCCCTACAAGCCTGATACTTACTTCCAACAATCCCTGCACCATGTGCTTAGTTGCTTGTCATTCTTCATCAGAAAGGCTCGGTGTGATAGGCTGTCATAAAAGTTAATTACACAGAGGGGGAAAACACTATGAAACATGCCAAAATAAAAGCGCGGGGGAGGCGGCTCGGTGTCTGTGATGGAAAGTTTGGATCCGTATTTCACAGGGTAATATACTCCGCGTTGGGTCTAATCACTATTATCCTAATAATGATCCGTTGTCAATGCGGAATAATCTTGTCACCACATCGCTTAGAACGCGTGTATCTCCCCCTCCCCCAAGTCGTTCTCTGGTTGTTAGTGTGGCTTTCAGTGTACTTCCAGTTTTAAGAGCGTTATTTGATAAATGGTATTTTGTTGATCGGACACAATAGTTTAGAGCATTTAGTGACCCGTTTAGGAGCAATCCTCTTTTGAGGCTGTTTTAAGTCTTGCTAAATCTCTAAGCTAACCCCCTTAGAGAAGGCGTTTACCTTTTTGAACAGCATTATTGATTTAAGGACATTTCTCACATGCATTTTTTTATTCTCAAAATTAAGGTTTTAAGGATTAATTCATCAACTGGCATGGAATTTATTTACTTCAAATAAAAAAACCGTTTAATTGACAGCTCTCTGAAAAATATTTCAGAAAAAGCCACAAGTGAGCCGGTATAGTTTGGATAAATTACATACTGAAATAAACTCTAGGGAGTTGCTCATCAACAAAAGTGATAGTATTTATTTTTAACTCATTATGTGAGAGGTGTGCCCTATCTATCTTCATGCATATATCTAGAGAGATACGCCTTGTTTGGAACAAAGTAAATTGCTAATGAAGACGTGGTTACTATGGCAAGCGTGTATGTTTGTGTATGGTGCAACCAAGCATCAATTAGTGTTGAAACTGAACACAGCCAGTGCAATTACTATTTGCTATCTATGAGGATATGTTAAGACACTTGAATAGCATCGCCTAGGAACAGTGACGCAAGTACTAGTGTCTGGTACCACCGCTAGCAATCAGTAGCTTTTGCTTAGTAACAATGCGAGAGTTTGGTTCCTGCATCTTACTACACATTGAAATAGTTAAGGATAGACAGAGTCTAGCAGGGCTTTAGTTCCCAGCGTTTAAATAGGCTTTAGGGCAACAGAGCGTTTCGCAAGAGGTAAAAGCCTGGTTCTTAATGTGTTGATTCCACAAGACACATACACACTGAAAATTTCATTCTTCCTAATTTACAGGTATAGTTAAGCAGATCCCCCATAGGTAATGTAGGTATCTGATTTGAAATAAGATACCCCCATTTCTCTGAAAGAGAAAAGCAAAAGCTTTGTAGAAGCATCATCATCATGGGGTCATTACACGCACCGGAACAGAGCAGTATTAATAGCAAAGAAGCTGTGTAGAGATTTATGAGATGTTTTCATGAACCCTTTTCCAAGCACTCCTCTACCCAATCACTTATGGTCTGGAAAAAAAAAACACGAAGAAGAGACTGACCTCAGTGAAAGACAGCCTTAAATCTACCAAATTAAATTTAAATTCTTAATACTACCTGTCTCTCTTCTACCTTTTTACATTGCAAACGGTGCTCCTGCAAAACAGGCAGCTCTGTAGACACAGTTACAAAAGTGATGACTCATGGTAGCCAGATGTATATTATTTATTGTTAGGGAATGGAACTATATTTAAATTAGGCTGCTTAATAATATACTTTGTATGTTTAAAGCTGCTTCAGTTTAATTATGATACAGAGGAAATAAAGTCCCATTTCTTAATCCCAATTTCTCTCTTTGCAATATCTTCCCTAACTGTAGTGTGTGAAAATAGTGAAATAGGAAGCCCTATTTGAATATAGAGCATTCCAGCAGATGCAAAACACTTCATGTGTAATGCATACAGGCACTACATGTAGAAAGGAATACTTACATGTGCATTTAGCAAAACAGATAAAAAAATACAAACAGTGAATTCTATAATTTAGCTCAGCAAGTCTATTCTGAAATTTAAAAGCTACAGCAAACAGCCTGAATTACTCTTTTTTTAAAAAGGATTTTAAAGTGATGAGTATTCTGACATCTAAGAGGGTCTTTCATTACATGATCACATACAGCTAGGCTATACTCTACTACTAGGGACAATTCTTTAACAAAAATAAGTCAAAACTGCATGATAGCAGGTAAGTAAATATTAATATTTTGTACATCAATTGTAGATTATATACACCAATTGTGGATTACACACAAAATGGCATATTAGTCAATCCATTTAGTATTATATAACGATTCTATATTTTCACAGATTCCCCAAACTTCTAAACCAAAAGGACTAAAAAAACCTAATAGCTGAAAAATACTGACTAAAAACTAATAGCTGAAAGGAAGCAGCAATGAACTATTCCGTTCCGTATTTTTTTCATTTAGTTTTGTCACTAGGTAGACACAGGCATCCTTGATGTGTAGATTCTCTCAACAACCTCTAGTCAACAAAGAGGAATGTGACAAGGAAACTCACCAGCCCATCTGATGGGAGAAATGCCTGCCACTGGTGAAGGTAGGATCTACACAAGTGCTAGAGCACTGCAGCAGTGCCACTAGAGCATTTTAAGTGTAGACATGGAAAGATGCAAGCTCAGGTGGTTTGGATGTAGTTAGTACTTGACTCTGAAAGGTTGCCAGAGAAGATTTTCAAATGTCAAGGAAATGGTTCAGGGACAGGCTTTACAGTTGTCAGTCAGGCTACATATATCATTTGTAAAGAAGAAATGGAAGTAATATCTAAAAGGGAGCCCAGAACCAGCAGCATGGGCACATGTTTCTGCAGACATTGACAGAGAGATCACTTCACCACTCTGAATTAATTTGTGTTTCCATCCGGGGGGAGGAAATGTAATAACATTTAGGTGAAAGTTTGAAAACTATATTAATGTGAGCACAAACGGATATATACACATGCGTATTTACAATCTTATCCACAATATATTTGAGAGAGTTAGACTGTGTGTTCAAGAATGCCTCCTAAACAGTAAGAGATAGGACCACAAAATTTGGTATACGGCTTCCTCTTATCATAGCTTAAAGCAAGGGCAAGGTTTGGTTGTGCCAGGAAAATGGGACATGCCTGGAATGGATTGTATCTCAGAGAAGCATACAGAAAAGAGAGAGAATCACCAGTCAGATGAAAGGGGCTGTCTGTGGTGCACTCCTCCCCATCCAGGACTGCCACAGCTGTGAACCCCCCAGCATGCTTTAGATTTGGGGGGATGAAGCCCCCCAAAATTCATATGGGGAGATTGCTAGCTGTTCCCCTTTGTTAGGGAGCAAGAAGGAACATGCACACTTTGCTGCGTTCCTCATCCTGGCTGGGGCGTGCAGCGGGCAGATGAATCTGGACATGTACCCCTCCCTTAGCTGTGCCTGCTGGAGCTGCGGTGATCATGGAAAGGCGCTTCTGACTGGCCCCAAGCCACTGCAGTGAGAAAGGGCTGAGATTGTCCTCTCTCCCTGGGGCAGCCAGACCATTGAACCCCTCATCCCCAGCCATACACCAAAGCAATGATTCAAATGAAGCATCTACTTTTTCATTTTATTTTCCAAAAACCAAAAATTAATCGAGTTAAGGACCAGAGCAACACTGTACATCTCCTAATTATCTATATATACACACAACCTTCTATTTTCAAGAATGTTTGAGCTAATTAATTAGCAAGTCATTAAGAGCCAAACCATTAGGCTGATTTATGCAGTAGGTCCTTACAACTGTATAAATTGATGGCGCACCAAAGACACCTTGCTATTGACAAACTCAATGCTATTGGGATGAGGCCATCACGCTTTGTTCCGCTATTGAGAAGTGGAGCTCATTGACACCTGGATCCACTGAACATCCAGGATGCTCTGTATTTTCATGCTGTTTCCACGCAAGTCAGAGTGCAGCACCCCCCATGGTACTCACCCCTCTGCACCCAGCTGGCATTCAGAAGAAGGGAGAGGCAGAAGTGTAACCATTTTTTAGCAAGCAAACAAAATATATTGGTTA